GAATAAATTGTGCGCTCATGGTGATGATTATTTATCAATCAAAAATTGAAAGAGTACAAAGTAGTTTGTACAATAGTAAGTCTAGACATAGACGTCGGAGACTTAATTTCATAAGAAAATTATCTCGTGTGGGGGTTATATCGGTTGATTATGTGAAGTCAAAGATTAACCTAACGGATTTGTTTACATAAAGCTTAAAACGAGATAAATTGTACAAACTGGTTAGAGAAATGAGCTTAATAAAATCCACAACAAACGAACGGTCTTAGCTATAACCCAACCATGAGAACCGGAGATCCCGAAACCTTGGTTCAATAGGAAAATGAAGTTTTGACAGTTCAACGAAACACTTGAGATTTTTCGCTCATTTCTAGAACAGTCAAGTGTTAAATCTGCCTAATTGGTGAGGTTAAGTCGAGGACTTTTAATGATTCCTATACATATGGGTGGAGTAAGGCATGATACTCTTTATAGGATAATCACCTTCATAAGTGAGAAGTAAATAGGCCGCTTCAATCGAACACTTACTAAACCGAGATATGGTCCAAGGCCGAAATGGACACAACGTGAGAACAAGAAATTGTTAGAGTCGTTATTGTGTGAGTACTATTGTCTTGGTGCACACAAACAGTCGGTAAGTTCAAAGCATCGCGCTGTATCTGACAGTATTTCACTAAGGAAGATTCAAAGCCACAAGCTATCTATCCTGATGCAATGATGGTTCGCCTTAAGTATTGCATACATGCATAAATTTTATTCATGTGGGGGATTGTAAGAAAAATTGGTTTATTTTACGGTTCCATTTTTTGTAAGTGGAAGACTTAAGAAATTCTCAAACCATTTTCAGGTGAATGAAAAAATAAATTCTAAGTTGTATATGTGGGAAATATAAAGTTGAAGCAATGAGTTTAAGTAACTCAAATTATTGGATTCGTAAAACATTATGTTTTGATAAATGTTTGGACAAACTAAACGAGCCATGATTATGCATTATGTATGCTAGAATTGTAGAAGGGCTCGTTGGGGACAAGTAGGAAAAAACAGAACTCGATTCTGAGTCCGTATGAGCTCGTACGAGCCCGCGGCGCACGAGCGCGCAACGGGCTGCGGAAATCAAAGGGTCGCAACCCTTGGTGACCATAAGGTATCTTTTGGCCACTAGATGCATCCATTCTCGTTCGGACACGCCCCAAAAGGTGTCTTTTGACACTTAAACCTTTTGGAGTTGTCTCCCTACATCTATAAATACCCACATACATGAAATCATACATAACATGAAAATTCGAGAGCTCTTGCATTATTTTTCAAAGATCATATAGCATATTGTGGTCTATGATTTTTTCATTGAGTCTTGAGAGTTTCAAACAATAGTAGTGTTCGCCGAAGCCTTGTATATTTGAAGTACCGCTATATACAAGTCGAAAGTCGTTGTATCTTGGAGGCGTTTGTCGTTACCCGTGGGTATTTTACGGGGCAATTTCGTCTTAAGGAGAACGTAATTATTACGTGCCTCGACTTTGATTTTTGTTTCGTTTTCTTCAATCTACTTAAGCCTTCTTTTTTATATTCACAAACCACACAAACTACAGGAAGAAGGTGGGAATATAGTTGACCACCATGGTTGTGACTTCTTTCCCATATGTTGGTTTGATCGTGTGGTTGTGCTTCAATATGAGAATTTAGTGTTGTATATGATAGGCTGACCAAGTGGTAAATGAGGTTTTCATGCTTTTTTCCAAACGATAGGAGATGCTCATAAATAAAAATAACGAGATCCAGAAAATTTTTTGGTGGCACTAAGAAGTGGTTGCATTGTTGATATAGAGAAGACTGTTATAGATATAACCGATTGGGTTAGAAGTTATAGCTAGTTGTCTTGTTTTACTAAATTTTATTGCAAGTGGGGATTTTTTTATCAAGTCCCATTGGTGTGTCTTGCAGTTTGTAACTAACGAAAAGGGAAAATTAAAATCATTTTTAGGTGCTTGTTGCCTTGATTTACACAATTACGTTGAATGTGTGGGATTTTTTTTTAATCAAGGACAGGATAAATGCACCGTTTTCTAGTGTTAATGACTTTGTACTTCTGAACTCCAAAAACGCGAGAAAAAACTCGTGTTACAGTTGTAGATTGCTAGAACGATATATTTTTTGTTAAGTTGGCCTAACCATTAGGTCGAATTTCATTTACATGTATGTGCATCTCATTATATATTGAAGAACTCGCATTTGGCAATATGAATTTGTATTATTGTTTATAATATGACAAGTTGGACACAATTAGGCAAAGTCATAATAATTTGTGTTCCTCTAAAAGACATAGTGCGCTTAATGTTGAATTTAGAATATGAAATTATATTGATTGCAACATCTAATCTGCAAACTTCTTTGATGATATTTGATGAGCTTGTATGTGAATGTTGAAATCGTTGCTTACACTTCGGTCTCCAAATAAATGTGTGCCTCTAAACAAATGCATTTTTTTTTTCCACTTGCGTCGTTTTTGGATGCACGCTGTTTGCTTTACTTCGGAATCACACTCTACAAAATGGATTAAGCTAATTGTTTTGCCCCTGTTTGTTTTGTATGATTAGGCAGGATATCCCGCCTAATCTTAGCCTAATCCTACGTTTGGTTCACTGTATTAAAGCCCGCGGGATTGGGTCGGCCCGTGATAAAAAATGAATTATCCCATGAATTCAGGATAATTGAATCCCTCCATTTACATGGGATTAATCCAATCCCAAGAATATAAAGTCGATTTACCCTCGATTTATTTATTTTCGGATTGTTTTGACCTTCCTTATAACACAGAATTCTAAAACTGCCCTAGCCCGAAGAACAGAACCGCACTCCAGCTTCATCTCCATCGACAACGATCGATCTGGGGTACATAGGTCAGATCACTGGCGCATCTGCGGAACTCATACACCCCTCACCGAGAGAACGGTAATTTTTCCCCTCCTTTTTTGTGTTGTTAAGAATATAAAATCCCTCTTTGACGCGCATTTGTGGTTGAGTATGGAGGGGAGTTTTGGGGTTAATGAATTTGTTTGTGGCGTTGGTGAAGTTTTTTCTGTTTGCGTATTGAATTTCTTCGATTGAAGTTGGAGCAGCTTATTTTTGCTTATTAAAAAATGGAGCTAGCAAAAGAAATTATTGAAAATAAACATGCATAATGAATTGCAACGCATTTATCCGTATGATCTTTT